CAACCGCCGCCCCCAGACGCCCTTTTGTAAAAAAAAATTCGGCAAACACGGCATAGGTTCGGCGATATTTAGGCGTTCCACGGTTCTTTTTGCATATTGAAAACATAAATCTACTAAAAGGAAGAGAAAAAACTGTTGCTCCCGCGCCTACAGGCCGAAGAGCTTGCTGAAGGCGTCGAAGTCGCCGTCGTCCTCCTCCTCCTCCTTCTTCACACCGCGGTCGTCCCTGCTGGAACCCTGCCCGAGATCACCCTGGCGGACTGGTTTGGGCGGTAGCGGCGCGTCGTCGTCGTTGTCCTCGAGGACGATGACGCCTCCCTCGTCGCTGAAGGAAATATGCCCTAGAGGCAATAATAAAGTTGTTATTTTATATTTCCTTATTTCATGATAAATGTTTATTATTCATGCTAGAATTGTATTAACCGGAAACTTTATACATGTGTGGATACATAGATAAAGTACCGTGTCCCTAGTAAGCCTCTTCTAGACTAGCTCATTGATCAAAGATGGTTAAGTTTCCTAATCATAGACATGTGTTTCATTTGATAAACGGGATCACATCATTAGGAGAATGATGGGATGGACAAGACCCATTCGTTAGCTTACAATTATGATCGTTCAGTTTTATTGCTATTGCTTTATTCATGTCAAATACATATTCCTTCGACTATGAGATTATGCAACTCCCAGATACCGGAGGAATGCCTTATGTGCTATCAAACGTCACAACGTAACTAGGTGATTATGAAGATGCTCTATAGGTATCTCCGAAGGTGTTTTGTTGGGTTGGTATAGATCGAGATTATGATTTGTCACTCCGAGTATCAGAGAGGTATCTCTGGGCCCTCTCGGTAATACACATCATAAGAAGCCTTGCAAGCAAAGTGACTAATGAGTTAGTTGCAGGATGATGTATTATGGAACGAGTAAAGAGACTTGCCGGTAATGAGATTGAACTAGGTATGAAGATACCGATGATCGAATCTCGGGCAAGTAACATACCGATGACAAAGAGAATAACATATGTTGTCATAACGGTTCGACCAATAAAGATCTTCGTAGAATATGTGGAAACTAATATGAGCATCCAAGTTCTACTATTGGTTATTGACCGGAGAGGTGTCTCAGTCATGTCTACATAGTTCTCAAACCCGTAGGGTCCGCATGCTTAACATTCGATAACGATATTGTATTATATGAGTTATTTGATTTGGTGACTGAATATTGTTCGGAGTCCTGGATGAGATCATGGACATCACGCGGAGTTTCGAAATGGTCGAGAGGTAAAGATTGATATATAGGACGATAGTATTCGGACACCGAAAGTGTTCCGGAGGGTACCAGATACATATCGGAGTACCGTAGGGGTTACCGAAACCCCTAGGGAGAAGATATGGGCCATGAGAGGCGAGCACACCAGCCCACAAAGTGTTCCCCCCCTATGGAAGGAGGCCGAATAGGAGAAGGAGAAGAGGGGTTTGGCCCCCCTTCCTTCTCTCTTTCCCCTTCCCTTTTCTTCTCCGGCAATTATGGAAGGGGGAAGGCCGAATTAGGGAAGACCCCAAGTAGGATTTGGCCTACTTGGGGCGTCCCTGGTTGCCTCTCCTCCCCTCCAACCTATATATATATATATATAAATATATATATATATATATATATATATATATATATATATATATATATATATATTGAAAGATCGAGGATGTCGCCTAGAGGGGATGGTGAATAGGTGCTTTAAGATAATTACGGTTTAGGCTTGAACAAATGCGGAATAAACCTAGCGGTTAATTTGTCAAGCATAAAACCTAAAACAACTAGGCTCACCTATGTGCACCAACAACTTATGCTAAGCAAGATAAGCAACTACTTTCTCCGTCCGGAAATACTTGTCATTAAACTAGATAAAAGGGGATGTATCTAGATGTATTTTAGTTCTAGATACATCTCTTTTTATTCATTTTGATGACAAGTATTTTCGGACGGAGGGAGTATGTGATAGCAAGATATATGACAAAGAACAATATGGCTATCACAAAGTAAAGTGCATAAGTAAAGGGCTCGGGTAAGAGATAACCGAGGCACGCGGAGACGATGATGTATCCCGAAGTTCACACCCTTGCGGATGCTAATCTCCGTTTGGAGCGGTGTGGAGACAGAATGCTCCCCAAGAAGCCACTAGGGCCACC